CCTTCGAGCGACGTGCGAACGCCTTAACCACTAGGCTACTCGCCTTTAAACCGATGTATTTTAAACTGAGATGTGTTATAGACTTAACGAGTAATTTATACGTGTGTACATATATATATACTGAGGGGAAAGAATAAGGGATCACATGATAGCACAAGTGTTCCCTTATTTTTTTTACAGGTTTCTTCACTAGCTATGCGATACAAAGCTTGTGAAGAAACCTTGGAAAAACATAAAGGAACACTTGTTCTTTCATGTGATCCCTTATTTTTTCCCTCAGTATATTAGATTCTGTCTTTTTTCGTTATGTTCTTTCAGCCCATCTCACGGTTGAAATAAACGTTTGGCCTCACACCCCTACTGCCGCTTGTATTCTTTTGAGTACTATAAACATAGCGCTGTTTTGTTGACCTGAAAATATTAGGGAACGTATGGTACAAGTCGATATACACATGCATCATTTCTGTCGCTGAGGCATCAAATATTAAAATGTTCCCCACGTCAGTTAAAGATCACATATATACTCAAGGGGGGTACAAATACATAAATCATTTATTGGCATCGTTATAAATGAAACCCCGTCATTAAAACTATTCATTTAATTAACTTAAATCGACCTTTTTGACAAGAGTGCACAATTCTCTCCCGCGAACGAAATTTCAACGAATCAGAGGGGCGCGTCTCCTTGACGTAATGTGAGGTATGCATGTGAGGGGCGCTGTAGAATTCATGCACATTTCTGGGGATAAATTATCTTGTTTACAGGTTTGCCTAAACCTGAAATCGTGACAATTGTTGTGAAAAGTGAAAGCTTTATGTTTTCACAATCTACTGTCAGTTTGCAGTTATGACGGTTTGTCACTATAGTCATCAGTCTATTGTCTTCTCAAAAGGCTCCTACATACTTAAAGAGAGAACAGTCCTTGTGTGATGTTCCAAAACGTTACACACTACGGAAGAATGGCACCTAATGGGAGTTGATACTAAGCAAAGTGTTCTACGTGACTGCACAATTGATATTCTAAATAAAATCCTAAGGTCACAGGCTGTTAACTATTGGTTTCAAAAGCATTCATTATAGTTAGGCTGCTGAGCTAGACATTTCTTAAGAATTGTGCATTTTGTGATAAAAGCACCATATTTGGCTCAGATGATTGCTTAGGTGTGGGAAGTATTTTAAGATAAGGAGGCATTCAATATTTCTTCAAATTGGCACATGTGCATCAAAATAAAATAGCATGTCTAATATAGATCTTTAAGTGTTCAAAATATCGAAAAATAGATATTTTTATGATACTTGTTTCTTTTCCTGTTTAAAAGCATTCATTGAAAAATATTATCTACTTCAAATGACCGCCAGCAGACGTTGCAACAGAGAAATGGACTCGTGACAAAAAGGTATGTATTTGCATAAACATACAATAGAAGTAAAATTGTATTGTAAAAGATGCCACTATTCCAAAAAAGAACACTTCACTTCTGAAGGAAACTGACTTGGGTGCAAACTTAGATAACGAATATATGTGGCTAAAGCACCCCCAACAGTTTCTGGAAAACTCCCATCGAAGTGAAACATTGAACTCTACTTGAGCTGCATATCATGCACAAAACCAAAGTTCAAAGGATATCTTCTTGACATCTTCTGTTCTTCTTCCTTTATTCCATGAAAGTGCTCACTCAGTTACCATGATCAAACACTCCATGGACGTTGTTCGAGATGTTGTTCTTCTCTTGAATGAAGGTCAGATACCAATCATTACCTTCGATCAACCTTTGTTTACATTTGCAAAACAGATTCAGTGGAAGTGGCCCGAAGCAGGTGATGGGATTTGATGGTTGTGATGTTGGGTGGTCTACATTGAGATGGCAGTATTGAAAACCATTGGAGACGGCCAAGTGGAAGTGGTTGGACACAAGCTCTTGTACTGGCAGGGATTGCTGCTGCTTTGTACAACCTGCAAGCTTTATGAGAAGTACACCGAAACAGCTGACAATGGTGAAAATCCTCTGGTATTTTGTACCTGGGGCGCGTTGTTTAGCCGATACGCTGTGCAGCGCTGCGCTTCTATTGGCTGAACAACGCCTCGCTGCATGCATCGCAGCGCTTCGGCGTGCAGCGACTGAGAGAGGTGCTTCCTGCGTAAGCGAGCGACATTCAAAATGGCGTCACGGCATGTCATTCTGCAAGGTAACAGAGAAAACTTGTCTGCTCTTCTGTGACCAATAGGGACAAGTTTTTAATGTTGCGCATACAATTCAAAATCATTGCATGGAATATCTTCTGCAGCTTCGTGTGCCAAAAGTGTGGCTAGTATCGGTGATGTGTTTATATTGGACGACGCCATATTGAATGAAGCGCTCACACAGCAGTCCGTTGCACGGGAAAGCAGGCAGCGTAGCGCAGCGAAGCTTGCAAACTTTTGCTGAACAACGCGCCCCTGGTGTCTAGCTAGCAACAGAACACGAACATCCAGTGTTTCATTACAAGGACACGGCATTGGAATTGGAGCTCTGCATGTTATCCTTTGTGCGGTCTTTGAGGGAAGCCAACTTTTATTTGTACTTTGAATCTCTGACAAAAGCTTGTTCCACTGTTTTTTGCTTTGGACCACACAAACTATGCTCTATAGACACCTGTGTATTTGCGAGGCATGTGTGAACATGGAAACAAACATCCTGCTGTGGCAGAAGCATTCCGTTCTGGTCACTTTACTGTGCAAAATACTAAGCGGTTCTTTTCTGCAATACCTTTATATCAAGGTCATTTAGAAAACAACGCTTGCATCAAAGGATAGGAACAACACCGAATGAAGGCATATGTTAAACCCACCTTCGTCGATATGCTTTACATCTATTTAAGTGAGTTACAATAGTTAGGTTTACCGACGCTCTAAATAACATGTCAGTTCGATTATATTTTGTCAGCTGAAAAAAGCCCAAAACGATCCATGTTTTAGGCATTTATCAAACTGATTAAATAACCCGAGTGTGCTCATTATATAGGTAGCTCATATGTCTCATTACGTCCTCGAAATTCGAGATTCTACACAACACGAACATGCAACATCAAAAAGACGCCAAAACATAAGAGCAGTTTTACTCACTGCAAGACAATTGTTGCTAAACCTTAAAGTCACACTGGCCACGGTATGTTCTTGAGTAGATGTCCAAGAAAGCATACCTTTTCATTGAGACTTAGATTCCCACATTCCCCCTGATTTCAGTCTTGGCTTGTTGGTAACATTGCCAATGGCGTACAAGTATGTTTCTTGTCCCTGTGCTACACAGAGCGCTCGCTCCTCCATGGAGCTGACATCGAGTGATATAAAAGGACTTTAAGAACGGTTTATATAAAAACAGTAATAATAACTTGATATCTCTGAGAATAACTTGATATGTCTGAACACCCAGACGTCCTTTCAAAATGAAAACCATATTTTCTCTACAAATTCGATATTCTACACAACACGAAAATGCAACATCAAAAAGACGCTAAAACATAAGAGCAGTTTTACTCAATGCAAGATAGTTGTAGCAAAATATTAAAAGTAACATATGTTACATTTGGGATTACACTTTCTTCGTAAAGTACAGATTCTAGTACTTTTTGGGTTGAGTCCCATCCGGGATTCGAACTAACACCCTCAGAGTCAGGCACCTAATCTCCAGCACACAAAGTCAGACGCGAGGACCGCTCAGCCACCGCGGCTTCCACAAAAATGGAAGTCGGACAACTGGTAGTCTAGACTGCGGACTTTGTGTACCCCTCTGATAAGTGTTAATTGGCACGGCTCCCACGGCCGAAAGCTATGTAATACACAATGCCATTTTAGAAAGTGGTCAAATGTAACATATGTACTAGAATCTGTACTTTACGAAGAAAGCGTAATCCCAAATATAACATATGTTACATTTGACCACTTTCTAAAATGGCATTGTGTATTACAAAAATATTAAACGCCACACTGGACACGGTGTGTCCTTCACTAAATTTAGATGTCCAAGAAAGCATTACTTTTCATAGAGAGCTAGGTTCCCACATTCGCTCTGATTTTCAGTCTTGGTTTGTTGGTGACATTGCCAGTGGCGTACAAGTATATTTCTTGGCCCTATGCTACTTCGAGACCTCCTCCAGATTTTCATTAATACAGAAATATTCGTAACGTTGAACCAAAACCCACTTCTTCACCCGCCTATACATGTCTGAATCGCACTGAAGAAACAGAAAGTCTGCAAGTTTCAACTCACAACTTGAACTGAGCCAGACGTAATTACTTGTTTATTACACCAATGCATATTCACAAAATAATATTCTAAGCTGTAAATATGTTTCGAGTTTTATTTGTGTTATCAATGTCACAAAACACTGTGTTATTTCAAAGTACAAATTAAATAACCGTTTATGTTTCATGTCAAATATAGCAGCCACGTCAACAGTTTTCAAACAGTAAACCATGACAACAACAATAAAACCCCAAAATACGGCAAAAATCGAAACATATGTAGAGCATTTGTCAGAATCATCTTTCAACACATAAATGTAATAATTAATATGGTTAACTTTAAGGTTCAAACATCTGAAACATGCACAATCAAAACAAAGAAAATTCATATAAACTCAAAATACGCATATGATATATCATACATGAAACAAACGTTTTCGCCCTGACACAAATTTGTATTCACAAGAAATGAACGAGATTCGGGGAACTGGTTTTGCATAATTCATAATTACATTTTTGAAATCATAAGACGTTGCAGGTGATGTAGAGGTCACGTGACAAACATGTTAATATTAGTGATACTCTGGTATCAATGTATTTTAATCAGCTATGTTCTAAATGTCTTCCATGCAAATGCTAATATCCGCTGAAGGCACCTTTGATTAAACACATAAAACCTTTCCTAAAGTATGACAAAATGTTAAGGCAATTATTATAAACGTGCTTTCAAATATTAATAGAAATACATAACTGTACATTGCCACGGTAACTGAGAAAAATGGGATCACAATCGATAAATAAAAAATGACATCTTCTGTTGAAGTTGTTAAGAGAAAAACAACGGTGGGTATGATCATCGTTTGACGTTTGCATTTCCCCTACAGACCCTCTGAAAATTGACCATGTTTTGGTCTTTATTGGGGCACGGATATGGTTTAGAATGATCAATTAATTGAACGTTTAACGTATTTCATTTCGCCAGTTACATTGGTACTTGACAACTGATATTTCAGTGATATTGTCCAGCACATTCGGTACTAACGCCAACTTGCCCTTGGGAATACAACCTCCTACAAAACCGCCACATTTGAGATGAATAACAGCTCCCTCCGAACTCCTTGATAAAGTCTCCATAGCAGATTTAAAGCCTTTAACTTCCCACTGCTGGTCTCTTGAGATGATCCATCCTGTTCCTCGGAGATCGATGATGAATTCCCCTTTTGTTCCACAAGACCTGACCTTCAAATCTTCATGGGTACCATAACAATCCCTCGCATATCCGTACTTTGGAGGTGTTTGTGAAATGTTTGCATACTTGGTGTCATCAACAGAAACGTACATTGTGACAGGATCAACTTTAATTTTAGAGAACCATACTTCACCTTGACGCCCTTCACAAGTGTGATACAAATTTCTTTCTCCCATGCAACGTAGGTTCGTCTTACTGGGGAAAATACCATAATTTTCATGGTGAAGTGTCAGGAATTCCTCAGGCTCCCCACTTGTCATATTGTGACAGTAGATGCGAGTTGGATAGAAATCGAAGTTAGGCAACCTGATCCAGTACTCCCCATCAACACTGGCCGGCCCACACTGCTTCACCTCAAGACAGGATGATGGTACAGCTAAACGACAACCTGTGTACGACCAATTTCCACTCAGTCCACATGACGCAGTGGCTTCTGGGTAGAAATCGGATTCACATACATACTTCACAACAGTTCCTATAGGAAGCTCCCGAGCCGATACTGTGGTATTTAAAACTGCATGGGGAATGGCAGGGAGATCAGACATTAAACAACCAGAAACCTTACAAACTGGTTCTCCTTCAGGAATGCAAATGGTATTGAGAGGACACACATGATTGGAGCACATAGCAGACAGTCGCTGTGGCCAATGTTGAATGTCCGAGAACAGAAAGCTTGAAAAACTTCCCATGTGTGCGTCTGTGCTATCAGATGACTTATAGTTGAGATCACACTGATGGTTTTCTGGATCATAGTTAAATGACACACAATATCTTTTCCCAAGGCAGTAGCGTCCACAGGTTATGAGCCCACTTGCGTGTGTGGACAGGATTTCAGCATTTGACAATTTAACCCCCTTTTCAACAAAGGATAAACTGTCAGTGCACATTTTCTCTGCTGTTTCGGTAAAATCCAAGAGCATAAGCCCATGTAACACAAAACAACAAACGATCCAAACGTAATTCCTCGATTTGATTCGTCATGTCTAACCTGAAACGTGTACACCCGACCAAATGTTCTTTCAAATACCAGATTATGTACAAATGTGAACAGCGGTCACATGCACTTATTAAACCCGACCCGAATGAATAATTCAACAAGCCAACAAAGTCATTAAGTGTAACTTCAACTAACGTTCTTATAAACATTTCAATTCTGAAACATTGTTTTGTTGAATTTACAAAGGTTCTGAAAGTCACCAGCTGCCCTCTATCTATCCATGAAGTTTGACTAAGTGGTTAGGCGAGTATTATAAACGTTTCCACATGAGCGACTAAGCGAATCACAATTCAAAACAAAGTGGACTAAAACTAGACGTGCAGTTCAGATAGAATTCTTTACAACCAAGACAAGCTGTCACAAAAGTTAAACCCTAACTTCACTTTGATCCCTTAACAACCAGAAATTATTGAGAATTTAAAGATTGTAATTTTTTAATTTTTCTAATCATTACTCACGTAGTAAATGTGAATATTAGCAGAACATAACCCCAGATTCAAAGACAGGTGAACAGTTAGTATTTTGTCAAGTCACCATGGGCAGCCATGCAGGCTTCAATGCGGCGGGGCATACTACTGATCAAAGAAGTTAGAAAGTCGTGGTCCATGCTGTCCCAATATCGGACCACCTCTGATTTCATTTCAGCAATATTTGTCAGATTTTTCTTATTGACACTTTCCTTCATAAGTCCCCAAACATTTTCTATTGGATTTAGGTCAGGGCTATAGCTTGGCCAATCTAATAATGTCATATTTTGGGTCCCGAAACCAGGCCTGTGAATGCTTTGAACGATGTTTTGGGTCGTTGTCCTGCTGGAAAATCAAAAACTTTCCATAGAACACGTGAGCAGATGGAAGTAAATATCCCTCGAGAATATCTGTGTACCACTCACTGTTCATACTCCTTCAAATACACACAGAGGTGCGTTGCCCCTAACACAGATATGCCACCCCACACGTTAAATTTCGGACTGTACTTTGGGCGCTGATACAAAGGTTTTTCAGTTTGTTTGGTCCAGAATTTCAGTGTATTAGGAAACAGCCACACAGAACTTTCATCTGAGAAAATCACATTGTCCCAGTTAAAATTTCTATGCTGTAAGCACCAGTACAACCTTCGCTCCTTTTGTTCGGGTTTCATGATCGGTGATGGAATTCCTCGACTTTTCTGCCAACCCATTGCATGCAGCACAGTTCTAATTGTCTCCTTACAGACAGCCACAGTTCCTCTATCAATCATATCCAGCCTTAAGTTTTCTAAACTCCTTCGTTTGTTTTTTGCAACAAGAATACCAGCCGCCTCCTGTCACCGACAGTCAATTTTCTGGGCCTACCTGCGCCTCCCTGGTGCTCAATGCCATATCCATTTGCAATATTTTTCAAAACACGATAAACAGTGGACAAAGGGATGCCTGTTCTACTTGAAATCACTTTAGCTGATCTGATGTCCTTGTTATGATACTCTAAAATCAACTTCCTCTTCACTGAAATTGTCGTCTGCTAGCAAGTAAACAAAGGGGGATAACTCTTCACAAACTAATGAAAAAGGATTAAGGGAGTTGTCACTCTTGAATGAAACCAAGCACTTGATAGCTGGTCAAGGTTGTTTAAACTAGAAATCCAATTAAACATATTCCTAAAATTCTCAATAATTTCTGGTCATACTATAACACAGAGGGATACGAATTTGTACTTATGAAATTACACTCCAATGGATTCACAAGAAGTGGACGTCAGTTCTAATTGTGTAAACGAACAGTCATCAAGAAATGTACATGATATCAGTGGCCTCCTCAAAATGTGTTGGGTGGTTGTTTAACGCCACACTCGGCAATATTCTAGCTTTATGGAAATAATCGAGTCTGGACCAGACAATCCAGTGACCTACAGCATGAACATCAATCTACACAACAGGGATACGGTGACATTTGTCAACCAAGTTAGCGATCCTGACAAGCTGATCCCGTTAGTTAGTTTAAAAATTGAGCCCTGGGAAGTCCCTCATCCCGTGCCCCCATGGTGTATACTACTGGTGGAAGGTGCATGCCAAATTTCACGAAATTCGGTGGAATAGTTTAGGAGCTGTTCCGAAACATTGTACAATATGGATGAATGGCACTTCATGGGTGAAATGCCGACTGAGGATGGATTTAACGAGCAATGTTTTCTACTTGACTGCCCAATCGATATTCCTCATAAAATCTTAAACGTCACAGGGTGCGAACTGTCATTTTCAATTCGCATTTACACAAGACACAGCAATGACTGAAGTCCCATCTTGAACCAACCTCCATCGATTATGTTTCATTTCTATAACAACGTGTCAGCTGAAGGGAAGTGGTGCAGGTTCCATGGCCAGGCATTTATCTCATTGATTAAATAACCTGACTGAACTCCATATATTGTAGCTGATATTTCTCATTTCATCTTGGGAGCATAACATGATTTTACTAAACGCCCAGGATGCTGTTTTAAATAAGAAACATAGTTTATCTAAAATTGCGTGCTTCTACACCAAATTTTATAAGAAAAATGATTTCAAAATCACAAATGTGTTTCGAATGTTATTTTTAATTTCAATGCCACTACCCCACTTCACAGACCCAATATGTGATGTTAATATTAAAACCATAGTTTAGTATATATTCATACAAAACTGTAAATATTATCCAGACTACGCCGTCGTCGCAATCTGTTTATATTTTCTTGTTTATATATACTCATTTTTGTAACTTTTCTTCATGTTATTCTTGTATCTTTACTGTTTCCAAAGTTGTCCTCTGTCTGCAAAACACTTCTACTCTACACCAGGTCTTCCCTAAATACAGGCATCGAAATGTGTAGTACAATGTAATGTTACTGTTTACTGCCTTCATATAATGTAAATGCTGCACGGATAATATCACTACATGTTGTTGTCAACCCTTGTCATATACGTAATGATCTAACACAATACCGTGTGGCGATAGGGAGTTCCAATTGTTTTATTTGTTGTTTTTGTTATGTTTATCAAAACGTCGGTCTATCAATGCTTCATGCAATTATATATCCAAGGTTTCTTTGTAACGAATTTAGAAAGCTGTACGTTTTGTGTAAAACTGAATGCAATTCGTGTTGTGTGTATGCTTGTATTTGCTTCCTGCAATACCAGTTGCATAATTCCAACAGTTTTCTCTCTCTTATTGAACCATGACTGATCAAGCACTAAATATATTCCAAATAATACATAAAGTATGTTCTACAAGCTAAGTGACGTGAGTAAATATCACATAATATGTTTTACTTAAACACACCTTAGTGAGATTGTGAACGACACCGATCTTTTATGGGATAATTCCCGCGAACCGGTCAGAAAAAACAAAATTGTTTTGGGGAAGGGGTCATGACATTTGTCAGTCAACAATTTCCCTTTAAAAAGATGGTGGACCAAGAAAATTATTCATGACGAATATTATTCATTTGAAGATATTTCTTCCACGAAAACCCTTAATATTATGTTGAAACACATGAGTATAAGAACTACAGCAACCTTTAGACCAAAGTGTAGAAAGAGCTCCAGATACTTCTAGTACGATAACGATTGTTGTTATTAATTGTTAATGAAAATAACCTTTACTTAACCTTTCAAGTAAACATTAACAAACTCCAAATCATCTTTTTAAAAGGAAATAAATAATCAGAATTTTGTTATTAAAGACCAAACTTGAGTGACTCGCACCTTTGCTAAGCTAATATACTCTGTAATAGTAATTGATGACATATCTGTTTCAAGACTTTGATAAGACCGTTAGCGATCACAGGGATACTTATATTTCGACAGACATAATTGCCACCACTAAAATGTGCTGAGACAGGAATGCAGAAAACGGGACAGAATGAGAAAGAAAGCTTCAAGAACTGAGAAATTCAGTTGTATAAGAAACAGAGCAATAAATAACATGAAATACCATATCAGAGAGAACGTTTATTCCATTCTAGAAGACTTTATTACTGATTTGAGTAATAACAATAGACCCTCTTACTGAAAAATAAACAATTCAGGAGCAACCGCGCTTGCATTCCCGTGTTCAAACAGAACAAATTCGGGTTAGCATTCGTCTTCACTGACTGACTGACTGAGTTTGGTTTTACGCCGCTTTTAGCAATATTCCAGCAACATCACGGCGGGGGACACCAGAAATGGGCTTCACACATTTTACCAATGTGGGGATTCGAACCCGGGTTTTCGGCGTGACGAGCCAACACGTTAACCACTAGGCTACCCCACCGCCCCTGCATTCGTCTTCAGCAACCCATACTTGACGCAAGAGGCAATCAATGTGATCGGGTGGTCAGGCATCGTATCCCCATTGCGTAGATCGATCTCATGATGTAGATCATTGTATGTTCTGGTTCAGACTTGAATATTTACAGACCGCCGCCATATAGTTAGAATTTTGCTAAGAGCGGTGTTAACAAACAAACCAACAAAACATTTGAACAGTTCAGGTGACCATTGATACCAATTCTGTTTAAATTATAATCGCAGGTTTGTGTATGTGTTATTGCCACGCCCAATGTGGTCGGGCATTTGTAATGAAACCCTTATACATTAAAGGCCTGCATGTTATCTCATATATATAGCAGTGCAATCACATCTAACAAATCTGATTCACGTAAACAACGATATGTTCACGAATCGCATAAACGTACATACAACGACAATGCCAGAGAATAAACGATCGCAAGCATGCACCGAAAGATATTTCAATATAGAAAATTACTTGTAATCAGTGATGACACCAGGTGTCTGTAAAAGGGGGAAGCATGTCCTGCCCTACTGGTAACACCCATCAGTCAAACAGTTCCTGGGGCG